ACATAAGTCCCCGAGTTCAATCCCTAGTACTACAAACAAACAAACAACAACAACAACAACAACAAAAGTAAGGTTTCCAGAAGTGGGGAACTTTCCTACTGGATTATGTTAAAGCATGATCTGAGAATTTGACGTGAGTCAGCAGCACAAGAGCAAGCAAGGGAAAAAAACAAAACTTAAAAATAACAGACTTTTTGAGAAGTGAAAGTTCACTTTTAGGTTGAGTAAGGACGTAAAAGCTGTAGTCAGGGGAAAACACACACAGGAAACAAAAAACACTTTAATTTCTTCATGTTAAGAATAGACCACACTCTGGGCAACCAATATCACTTAAAGCTTTATACTTCTTAAAATAGCAGTCATCTGAGACAGCACTCTTAGAAGGGCAGAGGAAGGACACCTGAGAATCTGTTCCTCCCCCGAAGCAGCAAGAACCCTGGCCAAGTGTCAGTGTCAGATTTCCCAAAATTCTCAAAATTAACCAAAGCTTTCAAAAATAGAAGGAACAAAAATGGCTGGTGGGGGGGAGTCAGGTACAGTGGAGGCAGAGGCAGGTGAATCTCTATGAGTTTTGGGCCAGCCTGATCTACATAGAGAGTTCTGGGCCAAATGCAACTGCATAGGGAGATCCTGCTCAAGAATCTATTAGGGGCTGGATAATAGATGGTTAAGAGCACTGTCTGCTCTTCCAGAGGACACTGGATGTTCCCAGTGCTCACATGGAGGCTCACAACTCTCTATAATTTCAGTTTCAGGGATCGGATGCCTTTTTCTGACCTCTGAGGGCACCAGGCATACATGTGCACACACATACATACATATATATATGTAATGTTTTAAAAATCAAAAATATTAAAATAAAAATATATAGCTGGGGGCTTGAGAGATGGATCAGTGTTTAATGTGACTGCCCTGGTTCATCTCTCTCAGAATAAGAAGTATGTCATTTATTTTTTATTTCTTAGGAATCCATAGTTAAAAAAGTTTGGATTTTAAGAGAGATTTTGGATATTTTAAAGAGACTTGGATTTTTAGAAATTTTGTAGGATTTTTTAAGTTATACTATGTTTTATATAACAGTATGATAATATAATGATATATATTATATAATGATATATAATATAATGATGGTAATATGAGATCATGGGCCCAAGAAAAAAAAGAAAAGGTTATGATTAATAATGGTGCATTTGTCTGTCAAGTTGACAAGGGATCAACTGTGCTGGTTTGTTTTTTGTGTTTTTAACAAAAGACAGAGTCATCGGGGAAGAGGGAACTTTAATTTAAAAAATGCCTCTACTGGATTGGCCAGTAGGTAAGTCTGTGAGGCATTTTCTCGGTCAATGATTGAAGTGTGAAGGCCCAGCCCGCTGTAGATAGTACTGCCTTTGGGCTGGTGGTCCTAGATTGTGTATGAAAGCAGACTGAGCAAGCCATTGGAGGGCAAGCCAGTAAGCAGCACCCCTCCATGGTCTCAGCTTGAGTTCCTGCCTTTTGTTCCTTCCCTGATGGAAGATGGACACTGTAAGATGAAATTTGTTTATTTTGTGTTCATTGGTGTTTTGCCTACACATATGTATGTATGAGAGTGTCAGAAACCCTAGAACTGAAGTTACAGACAGTTATGAGCTGCCATGCCAGTGCTGGGAATTGAACCTGGGTCCTCTGGAAGAGCAGCCAGTGCTCTCAACCACTGAGCCATCTCCCCAGTCCCACCAATTTGGTCTTTATCATAGCTATGGAAAGCAACTGAAACAGAAATTGGTGCTAGGAATACGTGCTACATATACACACACTCAGACACATACACACACATCTACATAAAAAATTTTCAAATCTTAAAAGCAAGCAAGCAGGCTGAATCTCAGTAGGAACAGTGAGCTGTGTGGCATTTTTACTTGTTTATTGTTTGTTTGTGTTTTGGAAACTCAATTACACAGTAGAAGCTTTCAAAATCAACAGTCTCATTTACGTAGTTGTGGTAATCAAAATCCTGGCAGCCACTAGAGGGGGCAGAATGGGTTTAGAGCCTCCCAAAGCCCTATCTGCAGACAGTGCATGCTCTGGCTGGTCCCCTTTAAAAGTCTCATTCACTCTAGATGCTCTGGCTGTCCCCTTTAAAAGTCTCATTCACTCTAGATGCCGTCCGTGGTCTGTGCATGAAGTCTTAGCTACTTGATTGGCTGGATTTGGGAATTAGAGGGCAGCCTGGAAAATAAAACGAAATCCTGTCTCAAAATAAGTAAAATAAAATAAAATATAAAATAAATAAAATCAGCCCATTCACAGGACTAGTTTTTATTTGACCCTACTTGTGGCTGACATGGTGAAAAATTCTACAGTATTTACACAGACCATCAGCAACAAATTGTTTGACCTTCCAGCTGTCGAAGGCAGGAATGAGGTATAAGGTAAACATGAGGTTAACCAAAAGACTTAAAGCGAATGGGATGTGTACAGGGCCCTTTGAAATGCTCTGATGCAGCCCTGGGGATCTAGAAGTCCACAGACATTCACTAACCCACATGTCTAGGGAAAACCTAAAAAGACTCTCAACTTCAGGGACCTTGAGGCCAGATGGCACTGTCAGGAAGTAAGGGTGAAGGCAGAGAGCACCCCCTCCCTCCCCCTCCATCCCCTTCCCCCTCCCTCCTCCATCACTCTCCATCCCCCCTTCCTCTCCCTCCTCCATCCCCCTCCTCCACCCTCCTTCCCTCCCCACCCCCAGGAAGGGGAAGAAACTGATTGGTTCAAGGCATACCAGGAATTGCCAGTTCAATCATTAGTTGACTTTTAAGTTAACCAAGCAGAAACTTCAGTGAGCACACAGGACAAAGAAAATAGATTTTGGGGCTGGAGAGATGGCTCAGAGGTTAAGAACACTGGCTGCTCTTCCAGAGGTTCTGAGTTCAATTCCCAGCACCCACATGGCAGCTCACAAACATCTATAAGGAGATCTGGTGCCCTCTCATGGCATGTAGTCATACATGCTAGCAGAATACTATATGCATAATAAATAAATAAGTAAATAAATCTTTGGGGTTGGGAATTTAGCTCAGTGGTAGAGTGCTTGCCTAGCAAGCACAAGGCCCTGGGTTTGGTCCTCAGCTCCAAGCAGGGGGAAAAAATAAAAAATAGATCTTACAGAATTATTCTATGAAAATCACTAAATAAACAGCCACAACTAGCCGGGGAGGTAGAGAACATGCCTGAAATCCCAGCATTCAGGAGGCCAAGGCAAGAGATTTTAAGTCTGAGGATAGACTCGCCTACTTAATGAGACTTTTTTTAAATAAAACAAAACAACAACAAAAACCCACACACAATAGCCACAAACTTTGACTGTGGAGAGAGCTGCTTGATTTACAGGATTGCCAAATCACATTATTATTATTATTATTTGTTTATTTATTTATACTGTTTGTAAAAAGGTATGAAGACCTGAATCCCATTTCTAGATATGAAGAAAAAGATTGGGTACGGTGGTGAATGCTCATAATCCTAGCACTGGGGAGCAGAGACAGCTCAGTCCCCTTGGTGAGCTCCGGGAGCTCATTTTGAAACAGAGTTTCACTAAGCGTCCCATGCTGGCCTCGAACTCACTCTGCAGCCTAGACTGGCCTTGGCCTAGTGATCCTCCTGTCTCAGCTTTCTGAGTAGCTGTGATTACAGGCGGGTGCCTCCAGGTCTAGCTCTGGAGTCTCAGTTCTGCAAGATGAAAGGGGTACCGGAGATTGGGCTCCAAGGTGACCTGAATGACCACTAAGGATCAATGTAGTTTTAAAGGGTTAAGATGGGATGAGAAAGAGGGCTTGTGCTTAAGAGGAAGAGGACTCGCTGCTCTTGCAGAGGGCTCTGTTGGATCCCCAGCACCCAAATGTCTGTTCACAACCATTTCTTACTCTAGTTCCAGGGAATCCTACACCCTCTTCTGGTCTCTGAGGGCACTGAAGACATGTAGTGCACATACATATATTTAGGCAAAATACTCATACACATAAAATAAGAATAAATAGCCACGTGGTGGTGGCACACACCTTTAATCCCAACCCTCGGGAGGCAGAGGCAGGTGAATCCCTGAATTCAAGGCCAGCCTGGTCTACAGAGTGAGTTCCAGGACAGCTAGGGCTACTCAGAGAAACTCTGTCTCGAAAAATCCACACACAAATACACAAATAATAACAATAATAATAATAATAATAATAATAATAATAATAATAAATCTTTTAAAATTGTTAAGAGGGGCTGGAGAGATGGCTCAGAGGTTAAGAGCACAGGTTGTGGGGCTGGAGAGATGGCTCAGCAGTTAGGAGCACTGACTACTCTTCCTGAGGACCCAGGTTCAATTCCTAGCACCCACATGGCTGCTCACAACTGTCTGTAACTCCAGTTCTAGGGGACCTGACACCCTCACACAGACATACATGCAGGCAAAACACCAATGCACATAAAATAAAAATAAATTAATTTTAAAAAAAAGAGCACAGGCTGCTCTTCCAGAGGTCCTGAGTTCAATTTCGAGCACCACATGGTGGCTCACAACCATCTGTAATGAGATCTGGCGCCCTCTTCTGGCCTGCAGACATACATGCAAGCAGAACACTGTGTGTAGTAAATAGACATCTTTTTTTTAAATGTTAAGATATTGTTACTATCAGACTAAAGACAATTTAAGTTTTTCTGTATACTAGGGGAACTCTGTCAGCTCCTGTGTCCACTCTCAACTTAAGCTGACAGAAATTGTTTAAGCCTATGCAGGATGTGCCAGGCTTTTATTTTATTTTATTTTGTTTTGTTTTTTCAAGACAGAGTTTCTCTGTGTAGCTTTGGAGCCTGTCCTGGAACTCGCGCTGTAGAAATGCCTGCCTCTGCCTCCCAAGTGCTGGGACTAAAGGTGTGCGGCACCACTGCCCTTTTTTTTTTTCGGACAGGCTTTTACATGTATAATTCTCAAAATGTTTTGGGGAGTCAACTACAGTTCGGTAAGGCCTAGTGACTCCTGAAAGCTTTTAAAGGAGTGGATTTCTCACTGGGCCCATTGGCATGTCCTTACATCCTCGTTTCTTTTCAGGCAGGCTATACCTCCATCGAGCTGGCCTAGTCCTGAGAACCACCTGGAGTATGTACAAACTTCAAATTCCCTCGGGGATGGGCAGCAGTCCAGATACTGATGGCTGTTGAGTGTGTGAATCCAGGAGTGAGTGAATCAGCAAGAGAAAGGGGCTGGAGGGAGGCTTCAGCAGTTAGGAGCACTTCCTGCTTTGCCAGAGGACTAGAGTTTGATTCCTAGCACTCAGTTAGGGTGGCTCACACCTACGTGTAACTCCAGCTCCAGAGGATCTCACGCCCTCTCCAGGTGTTCACGCGTGTCACATACATATAAGTAAAAACAAAAATACATTTTTTTAAAAGGTGAAGAGAGCCTGGCATCGTGGCACAAGTCTACCCCAGCACTCAGGAGGTAAAGGCAGGCAGATCTCTGTGAGTTCAAGGCTAGCCTGGTATACAAAGAGAGTTCTAGGACAGTCAGGGCTGTTACACAGAGAAAACCTGTCTCAAAAACAAAACAAAACAAAAGGTGAAGAGATGAATGAAAACAGCAAAGACCAGACTGACTGCAGCCTCATGGAGCCCTGAAGAGGGTGGGGTCTGCAAGAGAAGGAAGAACAGAAATGACAAGTGGGCATATTTCACTTTGTGCTTACCAAAGCTCTTGTCTTCGAGGCTGGGTTGTAGACAGAGACCGTGGGGACTGCCCGGGGGCTGATCTGTTGCTAGCCTAGGGACAGGCCAACTCAGACACTCCTCTGCGCTCCCAGAAGCCAAGGACATTCAGGTAAGATCTTAGTGGGAAGGATGACAAGGACCTTGGAGGACTTGGCAGGTTTGTGTGAAAAAGGGACATGTCTCTCGTTAGATCACTCCCACCCTCACGGGCACCTGCACTCACATGTGCATACCCACGTGCAGATATACTTACCGAATTATAATTAAAAGAAAAACAAGTCTAAAATCTCTGGACTGGAAATGCAGCTCAGTGGTAGAGCTCTGGCCTAGTATGTTCAAAGTCCTGGGGTCCATGACTAGTTCTACCGTAGGGAAAATAGAATAAGAAAAAGAAGCCAAGTGTAGTGGCACATACTTGCACTTGGGAGGCGGAGGAAGGAGGATCTCTGAGTTCAAGGCCAGCCATGGCTACACAGAGAGACCCTGTCTCAGGAAAACAGATCAAGAAGGGGCTGAAGAGATGGCTGACTGCTCTTGCAGAGGTCCTGGGTTCAATTCCCAGCACCCACATGGCAGCTCACAGCTGCCTGTGACTCCTGTTTCAGGGGATCCAACACCCTCGCACAGACACACGTGCAGGCAAAACACCAGTGCCCATAAAATACAAATAAATATGTTCTTTTAAAAAAAGAACAAGAAAGAAAAGGGGAAAGGAAGGAAGAACTGAGAGACAGAAAGGAAAAAACAAAACAAAACAAAACAGAGTTCATTCTGGCTTCTGTGGGAAAGGTGAGTGACTCAAAGAAGAAACTGGAGGAAAACCTTGTCCCTCAAGGGTAGAGCCTAGGAAAGGAAGTTGCAGAAAGGATCAGTGTGTGCAGAGATGGCGAGGGAGAGGAAGCGGCCTTGTCTCCATTAGTAACTCTTAAGTGCTTTACAGGCTGATGTGTGGTGAGTGGGGTGATGTGAAGGCGGGAGCGGGCAGAGAAGGGACCATCATGTTCGCCAGGTACTTCCTATGACCCGAGTGTTTCTTTAGTTGGCTCTAATAAGAGGACATTTATGTAAGTATGTATATATGTGTGCATGTATGTATTTTTTAAATCCACATCTTTAAACTCTTCTCACATTTATTGATTGCATTGTGTTTGTGTATGTATGTATGTATGTATGTATGTATGTATGTATGTATGCGGGGAGTCAGTTCTTTACTGCTACCACATGGATTCCAGGGATTGAACTCAGGTCATTAAATTTGGTGGCAAGTGTCTTTACATGCTAATTCAGCCCCAAGAGAGACTTTTCAGCTCTCTGAGAGAGTCCCTCAGCTCTTTAGGTCATTACTTTGGGGTTTTGGGGGTTATCACTAAGTAGCCCAGACTGGCCTAAACCCCACAATTCCTCTGCCTCACCCCCTCTTCCAAGTACTGGGATGATAGGCATGTTTTGCCAATTGCAGCTGAATTTGTTTTGCATGTGTGTGTTTTCTTTGAGAGGTTAGGGAGGGTCTGGTGCATATGCTGTGGAAGCTGGGTCAGGATAGGGTGCAGGAAAGAATGGCTTTTAGAGAACAGGGAAGGAAAAGACTGAGGAAGAAAAGCTTTAAAAAACACGCTTCTTTCCATTTCTGTACTCGCTAATCGAATACCATCCTGCGGGTTAGGTCACTTGATCCTATTGCCAATCTGGAGAACTCAGCAGGGCTGGGTCACCATCTCCCCCAGGGCTAACAGGATTTCTAGGCTGACATGATGACCCAGTGGATCCAGAGTCGAGGGCAGAGAACTTGCTGTGACAGGATGAAGGATCTGTGTGTCCCTGTCCCTTCTCAAGGTAGCAAGCAGCCAGGGATCTGAACTATTTAACTACGTGTCATAGAGTCCGGAAAGAAGATGAGGGCATGGGGCATCACATCTCTTCTTGCTTGGGAAGCCCAGCTCCTTTTATAAACCTCTCATGCCATGGGGTAAGAGAGCATTCTTGCTGATCTCTGTTCCAACCTCAGGGAGCCTCAGGGCCTGAGTGCTGAAGGAGCGGGGTCTGACCTTATCTTTCACTGTAGGGACAGAGAGTCTGAGGCAGGGAAGGAATGAGGCACCCCCACAGGTCTAGGTCTCCCTAATCACAGCTCCCTCTGCACAGACACAAAGACATGACCTGGAAACAGACACCACTCCTGCTCTTGGTCTGCATAACCACCACATGCAGTGCCCGGGACAGAGCAGATCTGCTCAGCGTTTGCATGGATGCCAAGCACCACAAGACAAAGCCGGGCCCCGAGGACAAGCTGCATGACCAGGTTCTGGTGGGAATAGTGTTGTCGGGGAGGAGGAAGTCAGGGTGGGTGTGGTGAGCAGCTAGACACCCCCACACCCTGAGCTATTGCTCTGGAGATGACTGGAGATGACATGGTGAGTGGGGAAAGTGGCGAGGTGCTTTTCTGAGGGCTCTCCCCAGAAGAGAACCCGGTGCGGCAATGACAGTGATCTTTAGAGGCCTCTAATTAGAGGCCATGTGATGAGAATCTATCACTCATGGAAGCACAGGGACTCGTAGAGGTTAGACACAATCCGCCCTTGTGGTAGGGTTCAGGTAGGACTAGGTAGAGCTCCTCTAGAAATTTGGAGGGTGACAGACCACGGGAGTGATGGTTTCTACCCTCAATTCCCAGAGGGCCAGATACAGAAGTGGGAAGGCCCTCTATGAGAATCATGGGTGTGAGGACTGCAATTCACATGGTCTATAAGCATTTCTGCCAACAGGTGGAAACTCAGTGTGGCCTTTCTGTAACAAATATGTTTAATTCCTCTTTTATATTCTGGAACTCACTATGCAGACCAGAAATCTAAAGTTAAAAACAAACACACAAACCTGGCCAGGTGAGGTGGCCCACAGCTTTAAATCCAACACTCAGGAGGCAGAGACTAGAAGATCTCTGGTGAGTTCAAGGCCAGCCTGGTCTACAGATTGAGTTCCAGGAGAGCCAGGGGTGCAGAGTGAGACCCTGCCTCAAAAACAAGCAAGCAAGAAAACAAAATTTATTTGTATTTAAGATGGCTCAGCAGTTAAGAGTACTTCCTGCTATTGCAGAAGACTGAGGAGTTCAGTTCCCAGCATGCATATGGCAGCTCACAACTACCTGTAACTCCAGTTCTAGAAGATTTGATGCTCTCTTCTGATTTGCTCATACTTACATGCAGGTACACACATAAAATTTAATAAAATAGTAAAAAAACAAAAAACATAAGAACACAGAATATGACACTGACCTTTGTTACATGTATTTGTCTATGTATGTGTGACACACACATGCTTGCTCATGTGAGCACACACACATGCCATAGCACAAGTGTGGAGGTCAGAGGGCAACTTGCAGGAGTCATTTCTCTCCATCATGTATGTCCTGGGGATTGAACTCTGGTCCTCAGGCTTGGTGGCAAGTGCCTTTCTATACTCACTGAGCCTTCTCATTGGCCTGTTTTGTTTTTGTTTTCTTTTTTAAATGAACCAACGAAAAGACTGGAACTCACTATGCAGGCCAGGCTACCAGGCTGGCATCGAACTCACAAAGAGCCACCTGCTTCTGCCTCTAAAGTGCTGGGACTAAAGGTGTACACCATAATACCTGGCTTGTTTGGGATTTTTAAACCATTGTTTCCTTACTTATTTGATTTTTTGATATAGGGTTTCAGACTCAGGATGTAACTGAGGATGACCTTGAACTCTTGGTCTACTTGCCTCTACTCAATGAATGCTGGTTTTAATAAGCTTGTGCCACCGTAACAGGGTATTTTTGTTTTTGTTTGTTTGTTTGAGGCAGAGTTTCTGTGTAGCCTTGCTATTTTGGAACTCACTCTGTAGCCCAGGCTGGCCTCAAACTCAAGAGATCCTCCTGCCTCTGCCTCCTGGGTTAAAGGCATGTGCTACCACCACCTGGCTTTTTGTTTGTTTTTGAAACAGAGTCTCATCCATGTAGTCTAGGCTGGTCTTGAATTCATGGTCCTCCATCCTCAGCCTCCTGAATGCTGGAATTGCAGGCATGTTGCCAACACGCCCAGCTGAAAAGAGTTTTTATAAAGTGTGAGGCGCTATATAAATGAGAACTATTATCCCAAAGACAAGGCTCCCCTAGCTTCTTTATTGTGCTGTGGTAACAGTATCTTCCTAGAGATGGGGACTCCTGAAGGTCTGGGATAGAGGGGCCTCTGTGGTAAGTGTTCATGGGAAGTGAGGGCCAAGTGAAGCAAGGCTGGAGGGTGACATGATGCAGAGTAGGGTAGAGAGACTCAGTCCGGTGTCTTTCCCAACTAGTGTAGTCCATGGAAGAAAAATGCCTGCTGCTCAGTCAGCACCAGCCAGGAGATACACAAAGACAACTCCCGTCTGTACAACTTCAACTGGGATCACTGTGGCAAGATGACGCCTGCCTGCAAGCGTCACTTCATCCAAGACGCCTGTCTGTATGAGTGCTCCCCCAACCTGGGGCCTTGGATCCAGCAGGTATGGGTACTTCCCTCACACACTTCAGGAGGGCTACCCTTGGGCTCAGTTTCTTTACAGCTACAGCTGCCAACATCCCCTCTATCCAGGTGGACCAGAGCTGGCGGAAAGAGCGTTTCCTGGATGTTCCCTTATGCAAAGAGGACTGTCAGGAGTGGTGGGAGGACTGTCACACCTCCTCTACCTGCAAGACAGACTGGCATAAAGGCTGGGATTGGACCTCAGGTAAGGGCCTAGGAGTAGAGAGATGGGAGTTAGGGTGTGGAAAGAGGGAGATGAAAGATTTCTGGGGTGAATTTTGACCCTAGGGCTGAATGTCTGTGCTCATCATGATTCTGCCTGCAGGCATTAATAAGTGTCCCGACACAGCAGCCTGCCACACATTTCAGTACTACTTCCCCACACCAGCCAGCCTTTGTGAGGGTCTCTGGAGTCACTCCTACAAGGTCACCAACTACAGCAGAGGGAGCGGCCGCTGCATCCAGATGTGGTTTGACTCAGGCCAGGGCAATCCCAATGAGGAGGTGGTGAAATTCTATGCTTCCCTTGTGACAGCTGGGACTGTCACCCATTCAGTGGTGCTTCTTGTGCCCAGTCTGGCCCCAGTGCTGTCATTATGGCTCCTTGGCTGAGGCCAGTCTTCTCTCTAGACCCCTCCTCTATCTCCCCGAAGCTGGGCCTCAGTTCCATTCCTCTAAGAATGAGGAAGTCTTAGCCTGCTTCCATTCCACTCCTCTGCCCTCCAGTTCCTGTTCCACTCCACGCCGGGGCAAGTCTTAGCCTGCTTCCATTCCACTCCTCTGCCCTCCAGTTCCTGTTCCACTCCACGACGGGGCTTGAGGTTCCTACAACAGTCATTTTGAATAAATCTGTGACACATCTCGGTCTAATGAATTGCAGTCACTGTGAGTTTGTGGGTGGGTGGGGACAGATCCTTTTGGGTCAGAGCAAATAGAGTGTTTGAATGCCCCTTGTCACTATATAAAAGTTCGTCATTAGTTCCCTCCTCCCAGAAGGTGAATGAACTAAGTGTCTATGCATTAGTAGTCTGTAGGAATCTAGTTGCTTCTGGGGCCCCAAGTGAGAGGCAGATCCAGGATTTCTTATTTATATAGTTCCCAAACATTATCCCCTCGTGGGCTGAGAATGTAACTCAGTTGGAAGAGTGCTTGTCTAGCAGGCGGAAGCCCTAGGTTCTATCCTAAGGGGTGTTGGCACAGGCCTGTAATCCCAGCACTCTGGAGGCAGCGGGAGAGTAAGTTCAGTGTCATCGATGCCTACATGCAGAGTTTGAGCCAACACGAGATGTAAGAGACACTGTCTCCAACAACAAAAAATAGCCCCCTATTCCCACCATGTGTCTACTTAGCTCCATACTCAGCTTACAATGGGAAAGCTGGAAACAGGAGTCGAGCGAAGGTTCTGGAGGAAGGGGTAAAACTTCACACTGCCTACCATGATGTAGACAGACTGGGCTTGGGCCCCTCGGAAGAAGAAGAGAGTCCATTAGGAAGCCAGTCTGGAGGATACAGAGGAAATGCAAGCTTGCATTTGGCCCAGTACTGTGTCCTGCAGATGATGCTGAAGGTTAGAAACCTTTGCAGGATTCCCAGAGGTGGAAGCAGCCCCTGTCCTTCGTTTAAATTACATTCGTATTTATTCTGAGTGTGTGCACATGTATGTGTGTGGCTGCATGGGTGCCTTGAGACAGCTATGAAGTCAGGACAACATGCTGGAGCTGTCTCCTTCCACCACGTGGGGCCCTGGGATTCAACTCAAGTCTTGGGACTGGGCAAAAGCACCTTTATCTGCTAAGCCACCTCACCGCAAAGACCCATTCTTTAGCATGTCTGTCCTCTCAGGGAACTGTAAATATAATGATTTTGGAGGGTTGTTAGAGCCTTTGTTCCTCCTCCTTGTTCTTGCTTTCTTTGAGGCAGGATCTCCTATGTAGCTTTGGGTGGTCTAGCCTTGGGTGACCAAGAAAGCTGCTTACAACTGGGTAGAGATCTTGCTTCTGCCTCCTGAGGGCCAGGATTACAGGCACGGGCAAGTAAGACATCCTGCTTGCTTAGTCATTGCACATCTCCAGAATCTGGTCTTGAGTTGATTTCTGGGTCTCCTGTGCCCTCTCTTCCTCCCTTGGGGGAGGTCTCTGGCTCCATATCCCTATCACAGTTACTGAGAGGAAGACACCAAATTGCAGATCCCTAGTCTAGGTCTCTGCCCACAACACCAGGGTGCCCCCTGACAAGAGGAGGCACATCTAAGTCCCTCATGCCAAAAGGGCAGGAGGAGTTGGGTACAGATTGGAGGTTGAGTGTTTTTATTTAAACCCTGGCCGGAGCAGAGAAACAGGTAGGTGGGTAGAAGTTCTCTGTTATTGTATTAATCTGGTTCGGAAGGCCCCTACGGACCTCCTTTGTTTCAGCTGGGTTAAGCCTACGCACCTTTTCGAAAGAGAGGAAACTCCTCGGGGCTGACCCCAGGCACGGTCAACAGGTTCAATTTACCAAAGCGAAAGTTCTCTCCCAGGTTAAAGGGATGCTCCGACAGTCTCCCAGGAGTTGGCGGCTGTAGGCGAACGTCTGGAGGCCTGCGCCTTTAAGGAACCAGGGGGCAGAGGGGCGGGGCAGGAAGAGAAATCCCTGGAGACGCCGCCACCATCCAGGTCTTTTTTTAGGGGGGAAATGGGGCGGGCCAGAGCCCCGTTTGGGTTCCGCCCCATCTTCTCCCGCCGCTCCCCCTTTCCGCCCCAGGGGGTGGGTGGATGGGAGGTCGTAGCAACCCGGGTCTCCGGAGCTCCCTGCTCGCACCTGGCCCACCGAGTCGCAAGTTTGTTGACTTGGAGGGAGTAGCCGGGGCGGGGGCGGTGCTAATAATACCCGTTCAGTCCCCAGTCGCGCTTTACAGTTTACACAGCTGTCACCTTCTTTACTCCTTAATTAATAATAAAAATAGCCGCCGTCCGGGAGCGCCCGCAGCGTGCCAGGCCCCGAGCTTTACAGGCAGAGCCCCAATGAATCCGCCCTCATAACGTTACCCTAGTAGTCGACAGCGGGAAGCTCGACGCAGGGGAAGAGCCAAGACTGGCCCGAGGTCACTCTGCGGGCGTGCGGCGCGGAGACCCGGACGCGGGCGGCCGAGGCGGGGCGCGGGGCAGCCCGGGCTCCGGGGGCGGGGCTCGGGCGGGGCGGAAGGCGCGGGGTGCGCGGTGGCGGCGGATGGCCATCTTAAGTGGCCTCGGGGAGTCCAGGACGGCTTTCCCGGGCTAGGAGTCACCGGAGTCGCCCCAGAGGTGGGGCCTGCGCGAGGAGGCTGAGGCGCTGGGACTTGAGGGAACTTTTTTCTAGATGGTCTAGGGGGTCCTCCGGGTCTGGGGCTGCCGAACCTGGGCCTGCGGGTGTGGGGCGTGGTGCCAGGGAACTTGGAGATGGGGGAAGGGTTCTGCCAGACTGGAGGGCCTGCGGGGACCCGTGCGTGAGGGACTTGAGGATACTGGACCTCGTGCGTGTGGGTGGGTGGGGTGGGGGTGGGGGACATCGGATCTCATTGGAAGGGGTCTTGTGGGATGTGTCAGGGATCGGAGTTTGGGGGTTGAGGTCTGAAGGGGCTCTGATCTCTCAAGAGTTGGGGGAACTTGTTCGCTTGGATGATGGGGGTATTTGTTGGGGAGGTTCGTCCTGGAGCCTTCCTTTGAGAACCCCGATCCCGCAAAGCTGTGGGGGTGCCGAGTTCAAAGGATGTGTGGCTGAATCAGACTTTTATAGGGATTAGGGGTCATCTCATTGCGAATCCTTGGAAGGGTTGAATTCACCAGGGAGAGCTGGGACTCTCAAATTGTCCGGGAGCGGGTACGGGGAACTAGATCTTCTTGAGATGGGGGACAAGATAATTGCGGGGCTTGGGAAGTGGGAGTCCTGTAAGACCGTGGGGGTATCGTCCTTGCTGAGAGGTTGGGGGCAGGGGCGGCCCGGGCTCTGGGCCGAGTAGAGGGGGAGGGGACCGGCCAGCTCCAAGCTCCGCTCCTGCCCCTCCCCCGCCGCCTCTGAACAAACTTTTCTTTCTTTCTCTTCAAGTTGGGGCCGGCGCTGCTGGCGGCGGCGGCTGCGCGGAGATCCAGGCGGCCGGTGCGGCCGGGCGTGGAGCCCCGATCTCGGACTCGCTCAGGCTGGTGGCTTCTCAGGCCCGGGACCCGGGTACGGCCCCAGCCTCGACTCCAAGCTTTCCCGGGCGGATGGCGCGGGGCGGCAGGCGTCGGCGGCGCTGAGCCCTAGGCGGGCCATGGCCTCAGTGTGTGGGGCGCCGGGCCCCGGGGGCGCGCTGGGCAGCCCGGCCCCTGCCTGGTATCACCGCGACCTGAGCCGAGCTGCGGCGGAGGAGCTGCTGGCTCGGGCGGGCCGCGATGGCAGCTTCCTGGTGCGAGACAGCGAGAGCGTGGCGGGGGCCTTCGCACTCTGCGTCCTGTGAGTAGGGCGGGTGGGTGCACGTCGAAGTGTTCCTTGGTGGTGATGGTAATCGTGGTAGTGGGGTGACTGGAGCTGTGGGGCTGCAGCCCCGCCTCCACCCCTGAGTAGAGAGACCTTGACTTTATGGCTGGGTGGAGGAAGGATACTGGGGAGCACTTCCTGCTGTCTGAGAGCTCTTTCTGGGGCCTGAGGCCAGAGTTCTTAAGCCCAGGGTGGGTGTGATGGGAAGAAATGTCTGCAGACTGTGGCAGACCTGCTTAGACTCCCCGGTGCCCCAGATGCACAGGGAAAGGATGCATGTTCCACACGTTTGCAGTGCTTTTAAAAGCCCTTAGTGGTGGGCAGTAGGGGGCAGAGGGACCAGTGTTTTGATGCTCAGCAATTCCTTAGGAGTTTGCGGCTATATATGGTTGTGGGGTAGGGTGGACTAGTGGGTGGTAAGAGGAGGACTTGGGTGAAGCTGCGTGGGACAGCACCTTCATTTCATGAATCAATGAGTGAGTCTTAGCTTTGGATTGAGCTCTGGTTAGCTGGCCATGAATGAGTGCTGAGTGTAAAGCTAGACTTGGCAGTCTTTTGAGTGGGCCTGGTCCTGTGGCTGTACCTGGCAGCTGTGTGTGGTAGTGGTGTACTCTCTGTTTTCTGTTTTGCAGTGTTCTTTCTTTTCTTTCTTTTCTTCCTTTTTTTTTTTTTTTTTTTTTTTGAGACAGGGTTTCTCTGTATAACACTTGGAACTCACTTTGTAGACCAGGCTGGCCTCGAACTCACAAGAGATCCACCTGCCTCTGCCTCTCGAGTGCTGTACTCGCCGAGTGCTCCCTGCCCCATAGTTCAACCCGGAATGGGCCTCTGTAGGAAGCATCAGGCACTACTGTGTTTAGATCTTGTGAGAACACTCTGAAACCCCATTTCCTCTGTCCGGTTTTTCCCCCTCTTCTGACATCTTTGGGAATACACTGGCCCAGCCTACAGGGGACATTTTTGATTGTCCCACTTGGGATGGGGCTGTGGACATTTAGTGGATAGAAGCCAGGGATGCTGCTGCTACATATTTGACACTACCTAAGACAACAAAGGATTGTGGGGGTCCAAAGGCTAGTATTGTAGACACTGAGGACTCTGGCCAAGACAGTTGACCTGCTGAGTGAGGGGTCCTGTAATTCTCAGCTTTTGCAGCAACTCAGAGGTCCACTCAGTGTGGAGAGACTAAAGGCAGACATCTTACGCCCATGAAAATCCCAAGAGTCCTGCCTCCTAGCCACCTCTAAACAGATCCCTTAATTAGGGAGGGAACAGGGGCAGGTGCTGGATCAGCTGTCTGAGTGGGAGGGGGACAGCTGGGGCCCTTGTCTGGGTGAGGAACTATTGTCCCAATGAAGAGAGATCCTGGTTCCATTGTCAGGAGAAGGCATTGAGGGGGAGAGGAGGGATGTGTGTGTGTGGGGGGGGTAGCTTTCAGGAGCCTGGCAGAAGGGATCAGAAGTGGGTGGGCTTCCCAAATACATGCTTACCTATATACACATCACATGTACACAAATAACATTCAAGACACACTCCTGCCCTGACAGATGAACTGGCTTCTGTCCTGGTTCTAGATACTAGCCAGTACTGCCTTTTATTTGTTTTGTGACCTTGGGCAAATCATTTTTTTCCTTTCTTATCTGGAGAATGGAAATATTAATATCTGCTTTACAGTGTGAGTATGAAATGAGCTATGTGAGATGCATAACACAGCCAGGGTTTGGTTACCGGGATGCTATTATTATTATAAACACAGATCCCGACACCACAAAGTAATCTCCCCTGACTAAGGTAGGGCTAGCTTTAGGGAGAAAATGACCTTGTGATGTTTGGTCCTCTCTGGAGCCAGCACCTGCTTCTGCCCAGCATAGACAGAGACCCCAGAACCTCTTTGAGGTGTGGAGGCCAAAGGAGCCTTCCATCCCCCACTTAGTATGTGCCTGGCTCAGCTGTTACCTGCTCAGCTGCCACCACCATCTGTCAGCACCCCTCTTGGCTTGGGGTTCCTAGAGGCTGAGTCTTCCATAGGGATTCCCCTTGGGTCATTCCAGTTTCCTGATGCTTGAGAAGGCGAGAAAGCAAAGCCCTATGTTGATGCCCCCACAATCCCCTGTAAAACTGCCCCCGGCACACCCAGCTCCAGGGGAGCCAGACACCAACATAAACAGACGGAGCCTTACATGTGTGTTAGCGCATTGCCCGTTCATGCAAATAGGAGCTCACCAGGCTTCTGAGGACTTTTACTCTGGCGGGGGGCCCAGACTGGTACCACAGCCCAGAGGGGCTGTTTAGACAGCTGGAGAGACCACAAAAGAGCTGCCTGTTGCTTCTCAGGCCCTTCGGTGGGTGGGTGTGGAGGCTGTGTAGGTCCGAGAGTGGGGAGGGGGGCCTGGTTATTCCTGCTCTTGTTGGCAATACTAAGAGGGCGGAAGTTGACTGCCCCATCATTAACCCTGTGCAGCCTGGACAAGTGGTTTTAGAGAATCCAGAGAGGGCCAGAGGTTGAGCCTGGTAGCAGGAGTAAATAGGAAGAAGAAATTGTTGGTATTCAGACCCCAGCCTGGGGGTGACAGGTTCTGGTCCCTGCTTTGTACTAGGTACCAAAAGCATGTACACACATACCGCATTCTGCCAGATGGAGAGGACTTCCTGGCTGTGCAGGTAGGAGTTCAGACCCGTGACCTCTGATTTTGGTTTAGCCTCAGACTTGGGGACCTGCTGGCTGACCCTGCCATCCTTGTTACTTCAGACCTCACAGGGTGTTCCTGTGCGCCGATTCCAGACCTTGGGTGAGCTTATAGGCCTGTATGCTCAACCCAACCAGGGTCTTGTGTGTGCTCTGCTGCTGCCTGTTGAGGGGGAGAGAGAGCCAGACCCACCAGACGATCGAGATGCCTCAGGTATTGCTCATCTTACAGCGTGAAAATCCCCTTCCTTGGGCTGCGGAGATG